GGAGTGTGTCTGGATTATAGTCAATTTAAATCCATTATGCAATCAATAATTGAACTATGCTCCTAAGATGCATTCTGTTTAACACTAAGGGAACAATAACACAGCTAGACTCTTATGAAGTGTTATGAAGAGCTGCAGTCAAGTGGAGACTTTTTTTCATTCTGGTTAGAGTATTCTGTGCCATTTTAACCTTGAGCTGAACAGAACTGTGAATAGTATATAAAATTCCTTTATCTTTGTTGTTTCAATGTTAAGAGGCCTTATTAACACAAAGACATTAACAGTCATTGGGTCAGTAAACATTTAATTTTAATGCTTATAATAAAATAAAAAGATAATAACTACCATTGAACTGATATTTTTGTCAATTTGCTTGGAGCTTTATACAGCATTACATTTATACACAGTTTCATTATTTTTTTGGCATTCTGGCATTGCACGAGATCATCCAGCCAATTGCTCCCAGCAAGCCCACTGATTTTGTCTACAGACTTCTCAATAGCAGTGAGCGGAGTTATTGTAGCTTTCACAAATGTAGCCAGGAGTGGGCTGGTGTCAACTCCTATTACATCAGGAGAACATCTTTTTCCAACTCTACTGTAAGTGACATCATATGGTAGTTTAAAATGGCCATGGTGGGAAAATTTACACTTTAGAAATCAGCAGATTTATTTTTCCCCCATCATAGAGCCTGTCAGTAAACACTAACACATCATTCCATATATCTCTCTTTCATTCTTCAAGAAGAAATGTTGTCAACAGGCATATCCTTCATGGCCCAGGTATTTTTGCTGCAAAGAATTTTTTTAGAGGTAGAAACTGAATTTTAAGCATATAAATGGAAAGGAAAGAGTCCAGCCTCAGTGAGCACACCTCTCACCCAGCCCACTCTCAGCCACTCACCAATTTGTTCCATTTCTTCAAAGAACAGGGCGAGGAAACCCTGGTCCTTTGGGCATTCTCTCCATGTCAGTGGGAGAAATACTAGGTTTCAGCAAACTATGGCCTGTGTGTGCGAAATTTCCCAAATTCCTGTTTTATTGTATGCATTTTGTTGGAATACACTCAGGCCTATTTGTGTGTTTTCTGTCTGTGTCAGCTTTCACACCTCAACAGAAATGCTGAGGAGGTGCAACACAGATTAGAAGCCCTTGCAAAGACAAACATATTTACTATCTGGCCCTTTAGAGCAGAAATCTTCCACATATGGCAGGGTCGTGATGTGCTGGGTATAGGGGTAATGCTTTATTTTGGATGTAGCTTATGCAAGAATATGGTGGGAATAAGTTCAAAATCTTTGTCTTTCCTCAACTTCAGAGAAATAAGCTATTTCTCTCAACTATATCCTTATGTATTCACGAAGTTCCATCATGTAGGGAGAGATATTAACCATTATGTCAGAAAAACATTCATGTATTGGTTCATAGAGGCTGGGATACCTAGTTACTGTATCAGAATCTCTATTCAATCATTCCTTCATTTATTCATCTAATAAATATTTATTAATGGACTATAAGAGTTCAAAGGCTCCAGGGGTATATTCTTGAATGACAGGTGGAGTATATATTTTAGTGGGAAAGAATATAAACATAAACATGTTTGTTTACTGCCTAATATATAATCAAGAAGTGATGAATAGCATGAAGAAAATTTACAGCAGGAAAGATTTTGAGCAATGAATGAAGTGTTTTTAAAATACATTTGGAGAAGTCACCCCTAAGTAGATAATATTTAAGCAGCAGCAAGACCACTGGAAATTTGCAAGGAGGATAAGGACTTGAATTAATTTCCCTGGGCCAGTATTGTGGCATCTTTGGGTAAAGCCACCGCCTGTGACACCAGCATCCATATGGGTACCAGTTTGATCCTGGCTGCTCCACTTCTGATCCAACTCTCTGCTAACGATCTGGGAAAAGCAGCAAAGGATGGCCCAAGTGTTTGGGCCTTTGTTTCCTAATGTGGGAGACCTGGGTGAAGTTCCTGGCTTCAGCTTAGCCCAGCACTGGCTGTTGCAGCCATTGGGGGGAGTGAAATAGTGGCTGAAGATTCTCCATCTCTACTTCTCTTTAACTCTGACATTTAAGATAAACAAATAAATATTAAAAATAAAGAAAAAGAAAATCTTTCAGATATATTAAATCCAATGAATAAGGTTAAATATTTTTCTATTCTTTTTTTAAAAAAATGCATTTTTGAGATAATATATTTTTAATTTACATTATAGCCAAAGGCTTAACCCTCCACTAAATAGTTTAACATATAAAAAGTAAAGAGACCATAGTTGAATAGGAAAATAGACAAGGATTATAAGTAATAATAAAAAAGATATTCAATGTCATTAATAAATTTTAAAATAGTCACAATGCCATAAAAACTAAGATTTATTTATTTTATTTGAAAGAGTAACAGAGAGGGCGAAAGATATCTTCTTCCATCCATTGCTCCCCCTAATACCTGAAACAATCAAGACTGGGCTGGGCCAGAGTTCGGAGTTAGGAACTCCGTCTTGGTCTCTTACATGGGTGGGAAGCACCCACGCCATCATCCACTGCTTCGCAGGTGCATCAACAGGAAACTGGAACAGAAGAACAGAGTAGCAACTGCTTGAACCAGGCACTCCAGTCAAGTTGGTCGACGTGCATCGTCTGTTTTTTTTTTTTTTTTTTGACAGGCATAGTGGACAGTGAGAGAGAGAGACAGAGAGAAAGGTTTTCCTTTACTGTTGGTTCACCCTCCAATGGCCGCTGCGGCGGGCATGCTGCGGCCGGTGCACCGAGCTGATCCGAAGGCAGGGGGCAGGTGCTTCTTCTGGTCTCCCATGTGGGTGTAGGGCCCAAGGACTTGGGCCATCCTCCACTGCACTCACAGGCCACAGCAGAGAGCTGGACTGGAAGAGGGGCAACCGGGACAGAATCTGGCGCCCCGACTGGGACTGGAACCCGGTGTGCAGGCGCCGCAGGCGGAGGATCAGCCTATTGAGCTGCGGCGCCGGCCTCAACCTACTTCTGAGTCACAAAGCCCACCACAAGGTCGAGTCCTTAATCTTTTTTACAAACTTTATTGACTATTAATAAACACAGGTGATTTCCCAATCAGTACAGCTATAGAATTTTTTTAAATAAATGTTTTAATTACAGTAAACTTAACTCTCCCTTCTTCTTTTCTTAGATTTCACGCTAAGGTTTTAGGGAATACACTCTACAATTTCCAAACAAATATCCTTGAAATTTTTTCCTGCTGTTTCACATCCAAAACCACCTTCTCTTACTAATCCCACAACTCCCCATGATGCCCTGGGTATTGCGAATTCAGTATCTACTCCAAAAGTTATGTTTCTTTCTTTGTTCTAAACAAAGGGTAGATTTTTGAACTGACTGAAAATTTCCAATTACAACATGCAAAAGTAGCTGGTTTAAAAAACCAGCAGAATTCACGTTCCAATGAACATTTTGGCATTTTAGTAGGGTCTTGGTGGTGTTCCCTGTCACATGCATCTGCCTGTGACCCCAAAGGAACCTTTCAAAGTCACTAAAATTTAGGGTATATGAAAGTACAGGGAGATATGTGAATGGGCTGGCAGACATTTCTCAAATCAAAGAATAAAAGTGCAAAGCTGATATTTCTGAGACTTAGTTTTTGAAATCTAAATATTGTATGTTCCTAATTGCAACAAAAGATGACTCAAAATGACTTAAAAGTATTAAAGAAACAAGGAAATGCTAGTTACCACGGAAAGTTTTTTTGTTTATATATATATATGTATTATATATATATATAAAACAAGCAGATACATATCATATTGCCATTTTTTTTTCATTTTAAAAATGCTGTGTATAACCTCAACTGTATTTTCCTTAGTGTTGAAATGAAGATAAAAAAGGTAAAAAAATGAGGACCTGGAAGTCTAGCTGCCCACGATGTGGGTGAGCTCTGCTGGACTTCTACCTCCCAAGCAAGGCTTTTAGGAGTGTGCCTGGGGAGTGTGGAAGGGTTAAAGTTTTGTCTGTGACACTGAAATTGAGGCCAGCTGTAGGTCATATTCACGTCCCAGTCACAGGAAAATGAACCTGTGAGACAGAACCTAATTATCTGCTAAACCAAAAGCCAGTCTCAGTTCAATAACTTACGACAGAGCTAGCAGCCAGATATAGTGTTACCATGGCAACTTTGGAAAAAGCTCCACTGCGGTTGAGAATAAGGAGGAAGGGAAGGAGACTGTAACCCTAAATGTGCTGTAGCTGTTTGATCTCGGACAAGTGGGTCTGCTTAGAAACCCGGGTTATTCTATACACGCCTACCATTGTCTACTCACTTTAATATCTACTACAATTACTGGAAAGAAAAAATGTGACCACAATGTCCTCTGGGCTTAAAAATTATTCACGAATTAATGGCACAAATGGGAATTAATTTTAAAAGGAAAAACCCAAGCTTCCTCTTTCTCCTTCTCCATGCCATTCCCAAATACAGATAAAGCAAGATACAAAGGGTGAGGGATTTCGAATACCTCATCAATGTAGCGATAGTGTTTGTGTTCATGAAATTCATTATCATCGTCTTTCCTCTGCTTCCGAAATGCTGAGATATCTTTAAGGGAAAAATCAGGGAAAAGAAGCAATAGGATTTGCTTCACTAAGGGGTAGGTTTAAAACTAGAGAGTGGGTGGGGCTGGGGCTTGGGATCCTTTTTGAACTCTGCCAAAACTTTCCAGTGAAATAATTTCCAGGGATATTGAGTTATGGAGAATCAACCATTAGAGGAGGAGAAGTCCTGTTGGGTTGGTCATTTTTCTTCTTGCCAGTTCATCTTTGTAGTTCATTCTGAAACAGCGGTCGATTTCTGAGTATTGAAGATGGTATGGCTTTACACACAATTAACATGAACACTGTGACAGCAGCATCTCACTAAACGCACTAGCAGCAGAGGAAACAGGAGCTTACCCTCCTGTCAGGTGTGTTTAGAGGAAGAATTCAGAAGCAGATTCCTCTATTTTGTTGTTGCTGTTTTGGCTTGTTTTGTTTTTAGTCATTCCAATGCAGACAAATCCGGCTAACGCTTGTCAGCTACAATTATTGGGTTTCAACATATTTGACAATTTTGATGTGTCATTAATGATGTAAGAAGACACAGGCAGCACACAATGGCATCACTTGGGTTTGCAATTCCACCGTTAATACCAGATTTGAATCATAAAGATATCGTGGATAGGAAGAAATATACAGGCACAGCAGTTGTGTTCCTTTATGTGTACCTCAAACATTTTGGGTTTGGAAGGGGAGAGGAAGGAATCAGGAGATGAATAATATCCTTTTCATATGCATGAATAACTTTGCAGTAATGCAAATGAGAAAACATGAAATGGAAAGTAGGTTTCTTCTAGCAGAAATATGACTCAGAACGTAGCCTGGAATTTGCCAATAAATTAGAGTCACTTGCGATATCTGTGAATTTTCTTTAAGATGTCACATCTTTTAAAAACACTTTATCCTACCCTATTATATCATATATTCAATATATAATTAAGAAAATAATGGAAATCCACAACTTCACATTCCTTTAAACTATTATGATAAATGCAAGGGAGATCTAAGACTGTAAAAAGATAAAAGGCAGGAGTGTGTGTGTGGGTGGGGGGGTAGTTGGTAGGGAGAGTTGGCACAAAAGCAACACCAAAGGGGAAAATGAATTTTCTGATTAATTTCCAGGTAGAAGTAACCTAACCTCTATGCATGACCCTAACTTAATTCCTTTTCAAGTAAATGGAAATCAGAAAGTAAACCCCTTTCTAAGACAGATGTTTCTGAGATCTAATTATTAAAAGGCTTGCAAAGATGCCAACTAAAGCAATGAAGTCCAATAAACTCTTTGGATCCTGTTACTCCTAATATCAGTTTTCTCCTAATGATTCCTCTTATATGAATTAATTAGTTAGGAAAGAAAATGAAGCAATTTTATCAGAAAAGCATCTGAAAGAGCTATTGATTCAAATGCTTTTTACATTTTAATCTTATCACACATGATTAACTTGCAGATATGAGCTTGGTAAGGATGCAAAGGATGCAAAGCACTAAATTTCATTGGATTCTCTCTTCCATTTGAATTCCCAGGAAAGATACTGGAAGCACTAACAAAAAAATCATACTGTTTATCTCATAATGTGTTTAGTTAATGATTTTGAAGAGCTGTGCCATGACTTCACATAACCTGGCATTTCTAAACTATTCCATTGCACATTTCCTTTATGATCATCATAAATACTTCCTATAAGTGTGGGTAGATGTGTGTGTGTGCATGGTGCACTCACATACTTTCCTTATTCCTGTCATAATCCTAAAATCCAGGAATGAGAAGTGTATGAAGCATATGCCCTATTCAGCATAAAGGCTCTGGCATGTTCAATTAACATTAAACAAATACGATAAAATAAATTGAAGTCGAAATTAATATTGCAACTTATAACAATCTGTTTATCATATGAAAACCTTTAACGTGCTTGTTGACTGAGCAAATAAATAGACTTATATGCTAAAGACCAATGACTTGACTATCTGAATAAAAACAAAAAGAGAAAAAGCGGAGTTGAAAGAAACAGAGGGGCAGAAAGAAAAGACTAACCCCTATGCTATTCTCAATTAACTACATTTCCATCCCCAGGAAGGTAAAGGAAAAAAAATACAGAAATAAAATAATCATCATTGGATATAACATTGTAAATGAACTGGAATATATGAGAATTTAACCTTTAATAAAAATGGAATCACTTATATCTGATTTCTACTTTCTCTCCTTTATGTTTGGCCACTGATTTCTGGCCTTCACAAACTTTTGTTAAAATGGGTCTGAGTCTTGGTTTCTCACCCTAGGGAAATTCATGAAACTCTTCTCTCAGCAGTAAATTACATAATGCTACTCTTAGAGAATGTAGCTTATAGATTAAACAGTTATCCTTTGCTTTAGTTGGTGATTTGGAATGTCTGAACCTCTAGAATCTTCCACCTGTTAGTTATCTAATTGATGTCTCGTGCAGACATGGGAAACTTTCCAGATCACTTTCACATCCTGATAAAGGACATTCTTAGAAGAAGGAGATTGGTTAGGGATTTGAGGGGATTGGGAATTTATTTCAGGCTTTCTCTAGTAGGTGGAAGGGATCATAACCCTTTGGTTATGACCCTATGTCTGCATACTCATCTACTGAGTATCTGTTATCCACATCCCTCCCCACACTGTTGCAAAAATAGGAGTGAAATATGGAAATGTCACTTGCCTACATCCAATTCTCTCCTCTCATTCTGGCATCCAGACTCTTGACTACCCCTGCTTAGAAAGTTCCATGGTGTCCTGCTGGATGAGCAACTGCCTTTAGATCACACCCTTCTCTATTGTATGGTTAATTTTTATAAATTCTACCATCTAGGTTTCTAATTTAGACTATTATTGCTGGCCATGCTCCTTAGAAATTAAAAATAAAAACATTTTCTTCCTGAGAGCCTAACATTTCCAAACCAGAGCACTGTGCTTTGAGCATATTGTATGTACTTTAAGTTTTTCTTTTTTAAAGATTTATTTATTTATTTATTTGAAAGGCAGAGTTATAGAGAGGCAGAGACAGATAGAAAGAGAGGTCTTCCATCCGCTGGTTCACTCCCTAGATAGCCACAATTGCCAGAGCTGAGCTGATCCGAATCTAGAAGCTTGGAGCTTCTTCCAGGTCTCCCACGTGGGTGCAGACTTGGGCCACCTTCCACTGCTTTCCCAGGCCACAGAAGCGAGCTGGATCGGAAGTATAGCAGCCAGGACTTGAACCAGTGCCCATATGGGATGCCGGCACTGCAGGTGGCAGCTTTACCCGCTGTGTCACAGCATCAGCCCCAATGTGCTATTAGTTTTTTAAAAAAAAATTTAACAGGCACTTTAATTCTGCTGATGATATTCTTGATTGTTTGTTTCCTCCTACTGAAGCCAAGAGTATCATTGCTCAAATGAGTAGAGAAAAAATAAAGCAAAACGTGTGACTAGGGAACCTTGGTTTAAATTTTTCAGGAAGCATTCCATCACTTTACAAACATGGCTGTTTCTATTCAACTTTCTAACCCTGGTCCTCTCTTGTCCCCCTATTCCCGCTGCCTCCACTTTTTTCAGGTCATTATCATCTTTCCCAGTTAATGCTCCGAATCACTATAAATAATTGTATAAAAGCATATTTATTACCAGAGTACTGGTTTTGCTAAGTTTTCAAAAAAAAAAGTGAAATAAATTCAATATTACATCTATGAGTCAAATGGTTAAATCAATCATACTATAGTGAATACATGATAAAATATGAGATACGGCATTCACTTAGTATTTAATAAATAAAAAGCAAGTTACAAAGAATTATGAAAGTCTTGGGTATATGCATGATGAGAAAGATTGAGGATATATGGGTATATATTTTATAACAATAGAAGTCGTCCAGGTGATGGGATTAATCATTGTTTTCATTTTTCTATTAATCTGGAATTTATAATTTTATAATAATGAACATTTTCTTTCTTTGCACAGTAAGTTTAACATATTTTAAACTAACTGTTAATATTTAAATTATGTGAAAATATATTTAATTTGCTTCAGCTGATTTGAGACCAGTAGATTCAGTGACATTGGACTAGCAGGTTTAAATCCATCTGTAAGTAGTAACACTGTCTTTCCAGTTGCACAGGAAGGGATTACAGTATTTTTAGGATATCAATCAAATGAACAGACAGAAGTTTTAGAAATGAGATAAGTTTAATAAATTAATATCATAAAGAAATTTATAATCTTTGCAAGTTAAATGTATTATTTAGGCAGAAAGCTGAAATAAATGTCCCTATACATATAGTTCTGCTTCATTTATTATAAGGTGCTTCAAAATTTTTAGTTCCATTGTGACAAATTTCCCAGGCTTCCTCCAACATCTTTTGTTTTATTCCTTTATGTTTTTTAAAGATTTATTTATTTATTTGAAATGTAGAGTTTCAGAGAGGCAGAGGCAGAGGGTGGAGGGAGAGAGAGAGAGAGAATTGTCTTCCATCCACTGGTTCATTCCCCAAGTGGCCGCGATGGCAGGAGCTGCACCAATGCAAAGCCCTCATAACTGACCTCTCATGGCTTTATAAACAGAGGAACATATACATACATGTGTGTTCCCTGTCTTTTGCCGTGTGATATTGAGCATTGACTCAGGACTCTGATAGCAAGAAGTCTTTTTCAGATGAAGATTCTAGATCTTACATCTCTGGGCTTATGAGCCAAAATATAATTTTCCTTTATACAATTAACCCACCTCTGGTATTCTGCTATAATAATGAAAAATGGGCTAATACAAGTGGTTTTAAAACATCTCTTTTGCAAGTCTTATAAACACTACAGCATCCTTTTCATCAAAAGAAGAATAGCCATACAGGAATATGCAACCTCAGAGTTCAGATTAGGAATTCAGGTTAGGGGACCATGGTTTAATCTCCATCTTCTTCTTCTTCTTTTTTTTTTTTTTCCTTCCTGCACATGTACAATAGTCTCTCTACATGTCTTATAATACTTTTTATCTTCTCATTTTACCATTCCTTACCCAACTCTTTGTCAACAGAGCAATCTGTCAGTCACCTAAGACATATTACAAAATGCACCCCTGTATTCTATACCCCAGACATAGTAAATTGTAATTTATAGGGATTGAAAAATGGTCAGTCTTCACAAAGCTTATAGTAGTTCTCCTATGTCCTATGTGTTGGGGTCTTAAGCCATACAGACTGCAAACAGAATAACTTTGCATCTCACAACAACCTTGCATCTATCTAAAAATAATTAAAAGCTACCAATGGCTACCACATTGTAAAATTGTACAATTACTAGGACAGACCCACGAACAATGCAGGTCCTTTACAAACTGAACTCATCATACCCTTCAATAGGCACACAACTTCTAACTGTTCAACAAATGTTTCTTGTCTTCAACAAGATTCTAAGTTCATATTGTATTCTTCATCTGCCTAGCATAGATCATGTTTTGTAAAGGAGTATGAATGAATGAATGAATAAATGAATAGAAGGCTAGATAAAAACTAAGGGTTGGTAGTCTCTTATCTGTAATTGCCTGTAATTCCATTTGCTACTGGGTATTTACAAAATAATGAATTTGCAATTAAAAAGTGTTCCCGTTTAAAAACATGATTTGAGACAAAATTGGGGACTAATAATAAATAACAATAAAGATGAGAAATCACTACCAAGTATTATAGTATCATCCCATACTCAATAAATCAAAGGCAGTTTTTACTCAAATTCTTCATTATTATAATGTTTAAAAGAGCTACAGCTTTGCTGAATTTAGGTCACTCTTGGAGAAGGATCAAGCAAAAATCCTAAATATTATAAATCAAAGAAATTAAGCTGCCACTTGAACCATGCAAATTCCAGGTAGGAGTGCCTGCCTGAGCGCCAGCGACTCCATTTCTGAATCAGTTTCCTGCTAATGTGCCTGGGAAGCATCATATGATGGCCTGTTCACTTGGGTCTCTGCCACTCAAGTGTGAGACCCATACGGAGTTCCTGGCTCCTGCCTTTGGCCTGGTCCAGCCCTGACCGTTGCAGGCATTCGGAAAGGGAGGAATGGAAGATATCTGTCTCCCTCTCTGTCACTCTGCTTTCAAATAATTAAATCTTTAAAAAAAATTTAAACAATGACAGCTCCTAAAAGCCCTTAAAAGAATTTAAAAGTGTGGAGTTAGCCATGTGTCTTGTATATTGAATGGTTGAAAAAACTGATGCAGTAAATGTGTGGACCCACCTAACGTGATTAAGTACTTGTTATTCATCACTGGCTCCAGAATACTTAATAATCAAAATGATTTAAGGATTTATTTACTTTATTTGAAAGAGTTACAAAGACAGGTGTGTGTGTGTGTGGAGAGAGAGAGAGAGAGAGAGAGAGAGAGAGAGAGAAATATCTTCCATCAGCCAGTTCACTTCTCAAATAACTGCAACAATGAGGAATGGGTCAAGCCAAAACAAGGATCCTGAAACGCCGTCCTGGTCTCCCACATGGGTGGCAGGAGTCCAAACTTGCAGACTATTTTCTGCTGCTTTCCCAGGCACCTTAGCAGGGAGCTGGATTGGAACTGGAGCAGCCAGGACTTGATTCAGCCCTTAATTGGGATGCCAGGATCACAGGCAGTGGCTTAGTCCACTATGCCACATTGCTTTCCCCTGAGACTATTTTAAGAAAATAAAAACACAAATACTTTTCAGAGGATTCGAAACCTCCTTGATTGAAGTTCAAAATTACTCCAAAATTTATGCTATTATTAATCAATGCTTACTTATACAGTTTGTATTTTTAAATAATAGAACAACTCAAAAGAATTTTGTAAAACTAAATAACAGTTGCTTCTATTAGCATTTTTAAAACTATCTATGTAGAGTGGGCATTTGGCCTGGTGATTAAGATATCGGCATTCAACATCAGAGTACCTGGGTTCAAGTCCCAGTTCCAGCTCCCAATTCTAACTTCTTGCTAATGTGCTCTCTGGGAAGTAGCAGGTAGCAGGGTAAGGCAGGGAGCTGGAACCCTGCAACCAATATGAGAGATCTATTACTGAGGTCCTGGCTCCTGGCTTCCGTTTGCCCTGATCCCAGTTATTGCTGGCATTTGGGGAGTGAAACAACAGATGGGAGGTCTCACCCTCTCTTTTTCAGTCAGTCTCTCTGCCTATTAAAAAAAAAAAATCAACCTACGATGATTATAATAAAATCTGGCTTCTTAGTGATTTTTTTTCTTATTGAAAATTTTAGAAATCAATTTTTCTATATAAGAATGAAGAAGGAAGTAAGAATATGCTTTTACAGCTAAAAGAAGTCATGATATAACACTCAAATAATCCTCTTATGACCAAGAAAAACCCAAATAATCCTCAAGTAGAAACAAGGAAAGGCTTGGAGTGGTAACCCAAGATTTGTGAAATGAAATTGATTTCCATTCAAATCAGGTCCTTTACTCTTCTAGAAAATGTCAAGGTGTCAGCTTTGGCCATGAAGACACTGTGATTTATGGCTGAGACAAAACGATAGTACCATCTGACTGTCTGGAGCCATGGTGCAGTGTCTGGAAAAGCTGCCAATGACGGCCATCTCTTTTTTTAACCAATCAGCATGGTTTAACTAAGACCCAAGTCCTTTTTCTCCCACCTTGATAAGGAAACGACAAAATGCAAACTGGAAGATTTACTTTGTGAGAAACACATGAGCTTTGGAGGGGAAGTAGGCATCAAGTTTCCACAGAACAAGTTACACATATTATTTATGGCAATCTATAGATCAGTCCTTTAGAAACACATATTTATAATAGAACCATAAACAGATGTTCCAAATATGACAACTTATTTTAATATACTGGAAACCCCAGCATAATTTTGTAATTTGATTAATTAGTAAGAATTATGAATGTTAAACTTTCAAACTCTCTAAATTATATTTACAGCTTTGCTCATTTGCATCTCAAAAAGTAAAATGTTTTATATTAGAATCATTATTCATAGGAAATTAATCTTTTTCTCATTGTGAGAAAGATTTCTAAGTTGTAGTTCCTGATTGTAAAATGTAAAAACAGCTCTAGTCATACCATGATGAACAATGCTAAAAAGTTAAAAATAAATGTCAGAATATAAAATTTTAATCATGTAATTGTACACACATACATATATATATATACACACACACATATACATACACACATACACCATTGTCAGAAGAGAAGAAGGGAATTCATAAGTGAAAAAATAAAAGATTTCCAAGACTCATCAACAAAAGCGTCCCTAACTCTGGAGGTGAATGTGGAAAGAATATAATAGAGTGACCTATTTATATAACGGTTAAGCAGAATAAAATCAATATCACCTCTTTACCAAACTATTTCTAATAATGCTAGGTAATATTTAAAGTTTTGCATTCCTAAATGACAACAAATGGTGCTTCCTCATGTGTATCACATGTTAAATGATCATGAAAAACATTCATAAGACATAATTAATCTCAATATTCAAGGTTGAGATTCATTGCAACAGATGTTTTACAGTTTCCATGCCACATAGAGCACTTTTGGCTGAATTTCCTAATATTGTCCACATATTGATAGGCACCACTAAGTTTACCAAGATAAACATTTGAGAAAAACCTATACAATATAATTGTACTGAGCATTTAGAACTTTGTAGTGGTTGCTGTGAACTCTATTAATTTTTTCCTGCTTTAAATTTCTTTCACTTTCTGTCATTGAGAGACTCATACTTCATTGTTAAAGTTAGGTTAATCCTACATAGCCATCTAATAAGAGTAACCCTTATTTGGACTAAGCAGTGGTTGTACAAATGGGCATTTGATCAAAATAGAGCCAGTCCCAGGCTATCTGGTACTGAACGTGATGTAGAGATGAAGAGAAGCTTTTACTTCTGGAATCACAAGGTATAGGAATGCTGCATTATGCAAATTTGGTCATCTTTGTCACACAAAGAGGGAGCCTAGCTGAGAAGGAAGTCAACACAGTGAAGAAAGGGAAAGAGTGAGGGTGTGATATACAGAGGAAGAGGCAGAGGCAAGGGAGAGAGAGTACAGAGAATGTGGGGGTGGTGTAAGCAGAATGGATGAATTAATGAATAAATATTTTGAGTTGAAAAACTTTCATTTATACATGAGTGAGTACCACTCATATAATGTAAGATTTCTCTACAGTGACCACAAAGAGGGTCACTAGTAAGGCCAAGTTTCTTTCTCCTTACAATTTGTTACAATCGAATAACAAAGAATGACAACTTTGCTTCCAGTATCTACATTAATTCTAAATGAAGTTATTAGTGTGAAAAAAAAAAAGTGTGCAAGAAATTTCCATGAGTCAAGGCCATTCTTTTCCTTTAATGTACTCCATGAATATTCTTTATGTTAACACTGGAACTAATAAAATAAATATTCTTATAGATGTGGGTATTTGAGGGCCAGTGCTGTGACGTAGCGGGTTTAGTTACTGTCTGCAGTGCCACCATTCCATATGAGCAGCGGTTTGGGTCTTGGCTTCTCTGTTTCCAATCTAGCTCCCTTTTAATGGCCTGGGAAAGTGGCAGAAGATGGCCTGGATGCTTGGGCCCCTGCACCCAGTAGGAGAACAAGAAGAAGCTTTGGCTCTTGGCTTCAAACTGGTCCACCCCTGGCTGTTATGGCCATTTGGGGAGTGGACCAGTGGAAGGAAGACCTCTCTCTCTCTACCTCTCCTTTCTGCAACTCTGCCTTTCAAATTAATAAATCTTAAAAAAAAAAAAAAAAGATGTGGGTATTTCTTACAGGTGCATATGTCTCACAGATAGTTAAGTAAAGGGCAAACAGAATGTTCTAACTTAATAAATAATAGATAAGGTAAGAATCACATTTTTAATCTTTCAAATTTAGAATCATATTGTCTTAGCATTTACCAACAGCTTGCTTTTTCAGAGCTCCTTCATTATATTTATTCAAAACACTTTAAATCATAGAGTTGTGTGCAAGGAAATCAACTGGAAATAATCTTCAAGTTGAGAATTCTACTTCCAAAGCAGGATGAGCCCTTCAGTTATGATATATCTAATTTCTAACAACAAAAATACATGATTTCTTTGTTGTTTTCAGGCAGTGGACTAAATGGCCCTCACTCAGGTACATCCTATGGGAAGAAAAAACATTTTTTAAAAAACACATGATACAATTTCTTTGAGAGTCACTTTTTCCTCACTAACTGAAAAAAGACACCATAAATTAAGAGTACAAATTTCATTCTTGGAGAAAGAATCTTAAAGGTTGACATTTCTTTGAACAATTGTTTCAGAAACCCTTTTTAAAGTACATTTTCATTTTCTGGCATGGCTTGAATTGAATTCTAAACTTTCTGCTGTCTTTCCTGTAAGCCTCTCTGGTGAATCTAAATGGGCTTCCCTATATATTTAGTACATTCCAGAATTCTTTGTCACAGTGCCTACTTTGCTTTATTATCAGAGAGCAGCCTCGGAAGTCCAGCAGCCAGTTTGTTTTCTGCCATTAATAAAGAGTCTACTTTTTTTCCCCTACTTCTTTGAAGAAGTTGAAAAGGCTCCATGTTGGGTAGAGGGGGGCCAGGAAGAGAGGGAGAAATGGAGGGAACTGACTGTGGTCTAATCCCCCAACAAAAAAATGTTGTCTAATGGAGAAACCTCCTCAAGCTTTACAAGTGCTCAGGCCGGGCTTATAGTGTGATTTTTGACAGAGTAGTAGCGTAGCCACAGATTGGTCCCCTCACTCCCACCCCTTATGATTAAAAAGTCTACCATGAGAAAGACTTTACATTTCAAAATTCCATAAAGCCAAATGCTGCAGTTGGCTAGGGTTTGAACACCACCCAAATTTCTTACTGTTGATGTTCAGAAACTGTAAAAACAAGCACAACATAAATCTACAGCTTCTCACACTTGACTTATACGTCTAGAAAGATACACAAGAGGATTTCAAAAAAGACCTACCAATTTAGATGTATAAATATTGATGGTGACTCATGGCCTAGGGAAAGCTAATTCAAAGGCAAGGAAAGATGATTCCATAGATAGTCACTGGGTCTCACAAATCGTCAGACACCTACCAACAAAGAGGGAGAAACTTCTTAGAAAAGAGCAATGGTTACATCTGCCTATACAAAAGAACCCAAAACATCTAAAAGTCCTATCTGGCCAAGAGAAAACCCAGGAATTATCATTTGTATGTACACATATACCTAACAGATACAGTTTGCAATTACTGTTATACTTTTTTTTTTAGAAATTAATGATTAAGGTTAACAAAATTTAAAATCAGGTTACTTATATTAACAATGAAAAATTTAGTTCACCTTATCTGAATTTTTCACTTTTAAATTGTCTATAAAATATGCATAGAAGTAGCTGACTGATTATATGAAATGAAACTATTTAATCTTAAATTCATTAATCTCAATTACCTTCATGTCCCACCTGCTTCCAAAATTCCACAAGTAAAATATTATAGGCAAGTTAACATTGACTGGTAAAGCACTTCATATTTTACATAGAGAAACCTGGAAGAAAGGAGCATTTAATGAAAACAGAAGGTAACTCATTTAAGAATTGGTATGGGTGAACTTATGAAGATATCTCCATTTTTATGCTGTTTCTACCAAACCTTTTAAGAAATAAAGATGTGTATAGAAAAAGTATATATTTATAAATATTAATAATTGATTATATATTTGGTCACTGACATAAGAACAGTACACCTAGTGATGATATATAGACAATAACACCTGTTTCTGCATACTAAATATATATATTTGCAGAACTGGATTAAAAAGTCTATTTTTCAAATGTTTAAAAATGCCTATGTTTCTAAAAACTTCTCTATGTTAAGAACTTTGTTTTTCTTTTCCAAATGCACTCACTAAGGGATCAGTGGGATTTGAATGCTAAGTTAAATGTCTAGTAAAAAATTAAACAAAGGAATCCTAGCAATCAAAATGATGCCTGCATTTGCTGCCTACAGAAATGTAGGCTGCACTGCATGTGTAAATGGCAAGAAAATTTGGGCGTTAGCTAACCCTTCATGCACTGCACTTCTCTAAAGTCATCCAAACATGACAGCTTGTGAAGCCATTTGCATATCTAAGGTGTATTAGACCAAGCCTAGGCCCGTGTACCAGCACACCCTTTTGAAGAAGAGCTTAAGGTAGAATATACCTTTGGTAATTTCATTAGTAATTAACTTGTACTATAATTCTCCTGAGATACTTATTCCTCTTCTAGCCTAATATGTCACTGATTTAAGAGTACCTCTGCACCTCTTCCACAGCTTCACTGGAATACTGAGGTATTTAAGACTTTTCTGCTGAGAAAGATGTTGATCCCTTGAACTCTGAAATGAAATATAATCATATTTAGATTTGGCAAAATTCCAGAGTAGTTTCCTTGATGGATCATAAAATGATTTAAAAAAATGCCATCTTGGAAAATTGATGTTTTTCTTACCAAGTTAAAAGCATGAGTATCACAATATTATCAGAGCAATGCGAAAGAAACAAAAGAAAAACTAATACTTCCTTGGTCTTTAGTAGATGTTGAGAGATATAAAAAGAAAAAGAGCTTGAAAGTTCACGCTAAATTAGCAAACAATACAAACAAAAAAGAATCATGGTGGGGATATTATATTTATGTAAAACAGTGATCTGCTATTTCAAAATTAAAATGCACAAATAAGCTGGTGTCAGAAAGGAGGTGATTCCTCATTTCCACTGCACTGAGCAAGCTCACATCGGCAGCAGACAGCCCCTAATATATGCGTCTGGCTCAAGCTGGTCTCCCAACCAGGAAGCCATCGAATTGTTAATATCACTGCTTTTTTTGTATGCAACACACATCATTTTCACGCTCTTTGTTGTAGATCTCTCCTTTTATTTTAAGCTTAGTATCATCTGATTTTCCAAATCATATTATAAAGCCTCAAAACAATTTTATCCTGTGACAGCTAAGATAGAAGTGCCGAAAAGGCATCATCTGTCAATGCACATATAGCATAAAGTAGCTTATATAAACATAGTCACCTTTATATCTACACACACCTTTATGGAGCAAGGAAGAGAAAAGCTTTATCAATGTGATCATAAAAGACAGTTTACATAGGTTACATAGAGAGGGTTAAAAGATTGCAGGGTTCTCACTAAAAAAAATATGTATTTTATATTTTTATGGTGAAAATAAACATTACCACATTAAAAATTCAGCTTTGGTATATTTCATTTAAGAAACAAGTTAATATAAGGTAGGTTTCATAAATATAACATAAAAATAAAATATATTAGAAATATTCAATATCTGACATCAGGAAGAACCAATAAAAATATCACTTTCATTATTTTGGAACTAAACTGATGGAATATTTTATACATGTTATTTATGATTGTGTTAAAAACAGGTGTCAGTAAACATATACCTGTGTATATAGATAGGGTAGTTTCTGATCTATTGTCTGAACATTGCTACTGAATATGATCAAGTTTCTGTTTACATACAGATACATATAGAGAGAGTTCTTTGTACTCAGAAAGTTGTGGCTTTTAAAAATGTTGTATTCTATTGAGAATGAGATTGCCAGTAAAAGATAAATACTACCAAAATGCTCCACTGTTTATATTACCTCCTTCCATTTGGACATTTATAAATAATTATGCATATACATACACTCACACAATTATAAAGTCTTATATACATGAAGTAGGAGATATGAATTATAATACTGAACACAGTGCTGAAACCTATCCTGCAGTGCCTTATATAGACCAGGAAATAAATATGTTTGTGATATTGTAATATTAATTTTTTAGAAAATATAACTCATGGGTGATCTGTAATATGTGATATATCAGATCATAAATAATTATAACAGATTTGGGATAAATGTGAACAAAGACTTCATACAATGTTCTAAAGTACATTCATGAATTTATTTTCACAATGCAGAAGACAATTTACAGTACCCAGGTAAAGCAACAAGGTTGAACGAATGAAGTCACATTGTTTATTCTGTTATGGAAAGTCTCTCATCTCCATTTTGCAACATTATTTTAAATTTTTTAAAATAGATTCAATATAGGGTATCTATCTCCAAAAATAAATATTTGATGTGGCAATGGCTAGTAAGTGTTCAAATATGACACAGTTGTGATTGTAATAGTTACCTCTGACAAAACCAAAATTCTTATAAAACTGAAACTATGCAGCTCAGATTCAGCTCGTAGACAAATTACAGCAGTTTGACTTCATAGGTGGCATTTACTGTTTTATCTCACATAGATCCATGGCACTCACAAAGTAAAATGTAGAAACTAAAAGGCATCGTATTTTCCCAGATTATTGATGAAAATTCTCATCATTGGCCTCTGAGAAAAGGGGAATCATTAAAAACATATAAAGTATTTTGTTTGTATAAAAGACTAAGGAAACTCTGGCAATAAATACTAAATATAAAACAGCATTCTTCTTAAATCGGTAGTAAAATCTAATAGGGTCAATAAAGAAGACTGTAATTCATTTTATTTGTGGGCCTCAAGCATGATTATAGCTGTATCTTACATATTCTGAGCCACAGTTGCATGGAGACACATAGGATTTAAACAGCTAATGTGCATATTTCTATGCATATGAAAAAAGTTACAAATCTGAAAAAAAAACTCTTCATTAACTAAGGAAATATGCTATGCTAGCCACCTTAAAATACACCAAAAGTAGCATTCAAAGAACACTTGTACTTTAATTTTGCTTCTTACATAGCTACCTTATATTGCTATCTTATGTTCATTCTAATGCAATACAAATGCTATTTTACAGCAGCCATGTAGCCACTTTGGAGTACAGTTTCTGACAACAGTATTTTTGGGGGGTGGGTCATGGTGCAAACATTAGTGATTATAAAGAAAAGCATTGTTCCTTTTCCCTAGGCAGAATCTATGTATGTTCTTTTGTTCTGGTGGTAACTGCAGACAATCAGTAAGGTCCAAAGCTGCCGGTTCCCCTCCGCCTAGGTCCCAAGAGCCTGACTTGTGATGTTACTAAAATACCTCACAAGTTAGGGTCTCAGGGACTAGGAAAAGTCTGGTTTGATGCAGTAGAATTCTTCTTCCAGTTATAAGCATAGCTTAGAAATTAAGTTGGGTTCAGTTAGACTCTTCCCTCTACCTACTAGTTAAAATACATAATTAGAAACATATACGTATGATAGATAAAAGGACAAGCTGAAAATGACAGTGAACATTTGTAAACTAATTTCAGACCTTAAAGTAACGTAGATCATGAGAAACAATGCAGACAATGAACAGTTAAAGTCATTCCATTAGATCCAAAGAAAGAGACGAAACAAAAATGGGTTAAAATCTGCTTCGAGCAGATTTATACAGCAATAGTATAGCCTCTATTACATTAAAAAAGGATTATATGCCAGTTAGTGGGATTCTAATTGAAATTTTGCTTCCCATTATACTTCCACACAGCAGAACTCTTAAGGTGGGCCCAGGACACAAAACACTTTAAACCTGATTTAAATACATATCGTTGCAGTTAAGAATAAAACAAAAACTTTTTTGCATGTTATAATTTAATACCTCTGAAGCTTGATTTTTCTCTTTCAATCTCCAAACTATTCAGACAGCAAATACTTCCATGCACACTCTGTAGTTATATGAGCAATGCCACTTAATCAACATGTAACTTAAAATGCTGGCAACATCATAAGAAACAAAAATGATCCTATTTCTTGAATAGTTGCATTATAAACCCCAGTACTTTTGAAAAATACACAATCCCAATCCTGTATGTTCATCGAATTTCCTCCAAGCTTTTAGCCTTGTTTGTGGTTCGAGTACAGAATTTGTACTTTAGGAATGATCCGAGGTTTAGTAGCATAGAACGCAGGGTAAAACAATCGGACCAGCCATAACATAAAAGTCCTGGCCACAGAAGTAGAATCTGGTTCTTCTGAAGTGGTTGCTCTTAAAAAAAGGAAAAGAGGAGGGGGGGAAAAATGGAAAGAATTAGAATGTTTTCCTGTAGAACAGGTGAATCATCTATTTCCAAGTACACTGCAAGGAAAGCTATGCTGAACAAAATATTTGCTAACTGTCCCCCTCCTCCACACTAGTACCACACCCCTTTCCCACCGCCACCCCCAACCCTTGTCCAGATATTTACTTTGCCTTGTAAGACTTTAAATATTCTGCTCCATGATGTAATACATCATTATATAAGATCTCTTTCTGCTTATCGTTTGATTTTTCCATACTGAAGCAGTTATGGCTTAAAATACATAGTTTAAAAAAAACCAAAAAACAAAAAAGCAGCAATCACAAAAAGCAAAAATAATAAATAATAATCATAAAAATAACAAAACAGTCCTCAGATAAAAGTCCATGCTTTTCCTTAAAACTGAATATGCTTTACAATTTTTGACCATAGCATTCAACCAATTATTAGAATGAAAAATCTCACCCCTCCATAAATATGACATTAACATAATTATACCACCCCCATCACGGAGACCCATCCTCCTTAGGGAATACATCTGATGCTCCAAAGATGGAAATCAGTCAGATTTTAGTTGCTCTCCAACGTACCTTTGCTTCTCACTGACTGACTGGCTTTTACCCTCCACGCACTCACACGCCACCCCCCTCCCCTCGGCTAGACACGGATGCCCGGGCGAGCGCGCGCGCGCACAGGCAACAGACACACGGCGAGAGGCGCGGCAAAGCATCTGATGCTGACTCAGAGCGCTTCTGTGTGCAGGGGGTGGCCGCGGCTGGTATTTTCACTGCACTCATCATTAACATTAACTCACAGTCTAGCATCCACCCTCTCCCAGACCTGCTGGACTGCATTTGCATGACGCTGTCACTCCAGCCTTTGCAGGTCAGATGATGGAAGGGGAAAAAAAAAAAAAAAAAAAAAGCCCCAAGGCTCTTATAAGAACTGCCTTCATTTCTTCCAGGATCTCCTTATTTTTTCCACCTTCCTATTTCCTCTGTGGCTGTTTCTCAGTTGTTTGACATCTTCCCGGAAGAAAATGTCTCGTGCTTCAATGAACCAGGCGTCAGTTGGTCCACCCCTCCCCTTACTGTCGGGTTCCCTCCCCTTCCCCCCCTAATCAATAAGACGGATCTCCAAATGCAGTTGTGGATACAGGCGCCCACGCAGTCGCATGCTGGATTCCCTACCTCAGGAAGCAGGCAGCCAGTTCACACACGTGATAGAGAAATAACGCCAGCGATTCTTGAACAGTCCTAGACTATTCTATGCCTTCGTTTCCCCCCGCCCTTGGCTAAAGAAATAGCAAAGGAGTTTTTCTACTTCTATATGAAGCCCCCAAACGGCCCAGGAGACACGAGCAAGACCGATGTGTGTGGATCAATCATTTCTACGTAATAAGGAAAAAATGGATTTTAATAATAGTAATTGCTTAATATTTTTATTAGCTGTGCTCTCATTTCATAGGAATTATAAGACCTGCCAGGATCTGAATCATCAATATGATTTAAACAGTGTTGAAATCTTAAGTTGCAAGAATGAGATCAACGAACAGAATATAAATATAGTTTCATGTTTTAATTTAAGTACTCTTAAAAATAATAACACATAGCTGGTGTGTTGCTGGATACATAGATGCTCTGAGAGGGAGACATCTTTTTGCAGGCTGTAAATATGAATGGTTATATATATTTAAATAAAAAATGAATTCCTACACATATGTGGAAACGATCTATTATATGCATTACTACAAAAGGAAGTAAAATATTTGACTGAACTCAGGCGTGTTTGTGCTTCAGTGTTCCACAACATAAAAGACAGTATATAGGTATTTACCCAGTTCCTTTGTTCTTCAATTGCTCTCCTTAATGACAGACTGTAGAAAGCTGCCCACCTTTCCTTTCTACGTGAACACTATTTCTGAGTTACTTGCCAGACAGAGCTAGCCATCGGTGACTCTGCAGCATACAAGAAATGCATACAAAGGGAAGCACAGGACGGCAATTCTCCAGCCAACTGTACAGCTGTCTGGTGCTGCAGAAATTTCAGTTTACTCACACAGACAGATCCCAGCATGCAGTGCGGCACTGCAGGACCAACTAAGGTAGCAGTTTGGCAACACATTTGTGGCAACAATGGTGAAGGGCAACTACTCACAGAGGTTCCAAGGAAAACATCATGCAGCCCATAAAGAGGCAGACACATCTGTAGTAGGAGATGCATGTCTAAAATCCCTTCCTAAAGGCTCCTGACTTGAAAGAAAAAGAAAAGGGTCGGGGGAGACCTCAAACACAAAAATATAGAGAAAAGTGAGCACCAGAAATAAACATGGAGTTAAGTGCACACTGTTAGGGGAGATGAAAAGCAGTAAGGAAAGGGGTAAAACTGGAAGGGAGAAAAAGGAAACAGAAATGGGCAGAGGGAAAGAAGCAAAAACAGCACAGAATCTCCAAGCACGAAGCAACAAATAAAAGGATGAAATTAGATTTCAGAAACTGAAGATTCAGGAAGTGTTCAAGCTCAGAATCTAGCAAATAAAACAAAAATTAACACACGCCCAGCATGGCTTAAAATAATTATTGCCAGTAACAGTGAGACGCCTGCTGACTTCTTCCTATCCTACGTGTATTAAATTGGTCATGTCCTAATCTCTCTTGGCTCAGATCTATCTTTTCTTTTTCTTTTTTTTAGTTTTTAGCTCTCTAGCATCCATGCTCTTTATGCTATATTTTTTTTTCTAGACAGTTGCCCACAATACTCTAGATAAATTAATGTCATGACCTTGCTATGGCTATCAGACATAAAATGTCGACTATTTTAATAATTGAACATGTGCTTACAGCAACTGCCTACTGATATCCCAGCTCTGTGAACAGCGTGCATGAGCATCTCACTCCTAGCTCTGTGAATCAGAAACAATGGATGCAAATACAATTGTGTTTTCTAATCCATGCTATCTCTTCTGATTACATACAGAGACAGACCACCACACACAAAAGGCAAAGATGCACTGAGGAACTTAGAGATTCGAGAGGAATAAAGGTTTGAAGAAAAATAATAATTATAACTGAAATATAAATACTGAAAGTATTTATAGCCAGGCAGGGGTTAGTCATTCCAAGTGTCCAGACTTCTTTCAGGGCCAACAGGAATGCAGACTTCATTAAATCAATAATTATTTGAAAGAAGATGTTGTGATCAATCAGTGCAATTACCACTGTCATAGGGAGTAGTTTCTAATTCTGAACTCCTAATAATCAATTTATTAAAGCATCTATAAGTCAGAGTTTATACTTTCATCATGGCTAAAGTGTTTACAAAGTGCATTTTTGACCCTGTTTTACATTTAATTTAAACAATGCAATGAAAGTACGACCTTGCCAAGTCAACTATTTTTTTATTATTGCATATTTGCTCTACCTCAAAAAGAACAGATTTGCAAAGGATGTATTAAGTTAAAGGAGGCAACATCTACTCTGAAATACTTTAATGCAACCTGACTTTTACCTTATTACTAAGGTGAGAATCTTTCATTTCTTACAGAGGCCATTTGAAATCAGTGTTATTGCAGGACTCAAATTTAAATTCATTGGTGAAGTTTGAATGAAGAGGATGGAGGACAATAAATTACCTACAGCTAAGATCTTGACCCAAAAGTCATGGATGTCAAGAATAAATTATTTCTTACTTAATATTACTTAATATTTTCTTAGTTTTACTTTTCCTGCGCTCTCCCGTAAGCTGCAACCAGCCATATATGCTATTTAAATGACAAATAAGTGAAAGTGAAAATTCATTTCCTCTATTGTTCAGCCATACTTCAAATGTGACTAGTGGCTACCATTTTGGACAACATATAGAACAGTTCCATCCTTGCTGAAAGTTTTACTGGGCAGTGGCTGACTATCCTTGTGAAAAGTTTTACAGCACAACTGATCCTTAGATCCCAATACTTTCCTTCCAGTCTCTTTTACGAGAATGAAACTTTACTGATATATTTGAAGATCTAAAATAAAGAGAATTTCTTTTTGCTTTTATTTATTAATAATTTTGAAATACACATAACTTAGGGGGGAGAGTTATACAGAAATTTACTTTAAGGTAATTGATAAGAAAACTATCAGAAGACACAAAAAATTACTGAAGCTAAAGTCTCTGAATAAATCCGAGATGCCTATTTGTCTCATCTTTCCAGGGCTGAGGATCATGGTCTTTTCAGTGCTAAGCAACACATGTCATATTTCTGTTTTCAATAAAGAAGCAGTGCAATAGTAATATAAATAGCAAAAATTCAGAGATTATTTTAAATCATAGTATGCAGTCAGGAGCAGCTATGGGTAGGTTCTTTTTTAAGAAGGAATGAAGGATAATTAAAGTACCCGGCAGACAAGAATCAGGTACCAATGATCTTGGATGATCTGGTTGGGAATTTTCTATGATATGAAACAAAATACTGAGGGGGGAAAGAAAGAGCATATAAGTGTGTGTGTGTGTGTGTGTGTGTTTGTATGTGTGTGTACTTTGGCAAGAGTTTTGAGTTACAAATCAGATTATGTTAAAATAATGTAAAATATAGATATATAGGAGTTATTACTAAAGAAATTTAATGATGAAGTATACAGCTGGTTTGTAACCAGGGACAAAAAATAGCTTCCCTATATTTTCTTTTAGAATGTTATTATTTAGACTAGAGGATGATTCAGTGTTTAGCTTTATGACTGGAATGCAAAGGATTTATTTGTCAACCAGAAATTACTTTTTCCACCCTTTTTTGCTATGCAAGTGAAGAGCACCACAACTAACATGGAAAAATAAATAACTATAGTGATTTCTCCTCCTTTTGGGAATGACTCCCACAGGTGAATTCTGAAGTTGTTTCTTACATTTAGTAATACCAAAAAAGTTGATTGTAACTCCCTGTAGCAATCTCTCTCTTTCTCCTGCCTGCCCTGTCTCTTCCCCTTCTGTCCTTCCCTCCACTTTCCTGCTCTCCAGGAAGTGTGCAACCTCTTTCAATCTAGTCTGTCATCAATATTCACAAGGGAGCCCAGCCAAAGTCACACAAGAGATGACACTAGGCGTCTGCCCCGTGGCGGAGTAGGCTAAGCCTCCAACTGAAGCGCCAGCATCCCACATGGGCGCTGGTTAGAATCCCGGCTGCTCTTCTTCCCATCCTGCTCCCTGCTCATGGCCTAGGAAAGCAACAGAAGATAGCCCAAGTGATTATGCCCCTGCATCTGCGTAAGGGACCTGGAAGAAGCTCCTGGATCCTTGTGGCCATTTGGGGAGTGAACCTGGAAATGGAAGACCTTTCTCCCTGTCTCCCCCTCTCTCTGTAACTCTACCTCTCAATAAATAAATAAAAATTTTAACAGCAACCAAACGAAAGAGATTACACTTGAGCAGAGGGGTCTGAGATGGAGGAACTGGAGCAAGAATGGGTCTGTGAGGGAGGTCTTGAGGGGAAAGTGTTGTGCACTTTGTTGAGTAGCCACACAAAGGATGGACAACTCTGAGGACACTGGTGGACTGCTTCTCTGTCAGGAGGAAGGCAGGGTATAATAATGAGGGGCAATTTGGAGGCCATAAAAAAGGGCATAACATTTTATTCAAATCTGGAAGGTATTATTCAGTAGCATGCAGCACTATACATAGTGGTGTTAAATGGATATCTCTAACATATGTATATGCTTGCAAAAAGATGAGCGAGAAAGGAACAAATCCGGAGTTTTAAGATGGGCATAAATGGAAAGATTTTAGATGATGCCAAATAATTTCACCATTATTCTTCTCTTTAAAGTCTAAATATTATGACACAGGATCAATAAGAATTTATGTTTTCACTAACATAACTATATAAAAATACTATTTTCCTCATGATATCGTACACAATGCCATGGAACAAAGTGGGGAAGTAAGAAAGGAAAACTGGTAGCATCAATTCTGTAATTAATAACATTTGTGATCTTCAGTAAATCATTTAACTCTCTGAACCTTGGTTGTTTTAATTTCAAATTGGGAGGAAGGACCAGCTTATCACAGAGGGCTAAGTCATCCTTAAGATTCTATGCACAGGGGCCAGCACTGTGGTACGGTGGGTAAAGCTGCAGCCTGCAGAGCTGGCATCCCATGTGGGCACCAGTTCAGGTCTCGGCTGTTCTGCTTCTGATCCAACTCTCTGCTATGACCTGGGAAGGCAGAGGAGGATGGCACACGTCCTTGGGACCCTGTACCCACACAGGAGGCCTGGAAGAGGCGCCAGGCTCTTGGCTTTGGATAAGCCCAGCTCTGGCCACTGTGGATATTTGGGGAGTGAACCAGCGGATAAAAGACCTCTCTCTCTCTTTCTCTCTCTCTCTCTCTCTCTGCCTCTGTGACTCTGTGTTTCGAATAAATAAATAAATCATTAAAAAAATTCACAGAGGCAAGTAAAATTAGAAACTTAAGTTGGTCACTATTGTCTACTATTTGGATATTTGTTTACATGATTGCCACAATTGTCTCATTTACATCTCACAGTAACTGTTCAGTAGCATTTCTTCCCAGAGAAACTGTTATTATCTTTTTCCTATGTCCACATGATATCTTTCCCAATAACTGAACTTCAAAATGCAACATCTTATATTAGCTTCAGAATTGTGTGAAAATGGAATTAAAATTAAGTTTATTTTGAGGGCTGGCTCTATGGCATAGCAGGCTGAGTCACCGCCTGCAGCACCAGCATCCCATATGGGCACCAGTTCAAGTCCTGGCTGAGCCTCTCTGATCCAACTCCCTATTAATGTGCCTGGGAAAGCAGTAGAAAATGACCCAAGTGCTTGTGCTTCTGCACCCAGGTGGGAGACCTGGAGGAAACTCCTGGCTTCTGGCTTCAACCTGGCCCATTTGGGGAGTGAACGAGCAGATGGAAGACCCGCTCTCTCTCTCTCATTTCTTCTCTCTCTCTCTGTCTTTCTGTAACTCTGCTTTTCAAATAAATGAACTAAATCTTTTTTAAATAAACCCTTTATTTTTTATGGAAAAAAGTTTTGAAATCCACACATAATTTTTCCATAACATTTGTCTTCCATGAACTTTTCAAATATCTGTTGTATGCATGGATTTGAATTGTTTTTACATAAAAACAAATTTACCTTTCAATTTAATTTCCATGACATTTTGAGTACATTCATATTTGATCTTTTATGTGGATTATCCTATCTACATTTTTTCATTTATTTAAGCAATATAAAATATTTTCATTTTAGAACTAGGGAAGTAGTAAATTTTCTAAGAGTTAAAAAGATGTAAAAATGGTTACAGTATACGTACTGAGGAAAAGTATTCATAGTGTCTTTGGATATTTCAAAAATTTGTGGATTATAAAAGCATTTTGGGATTAATGGATTGATGGGACATATTTTAATAAATCTTTTTTTTTTTTTTTTTGACAGGCAGAGTGGATAGTGAGAGAGAGAGAGACAGAGAGAAAGGTCTTCCTTTGCCGTTGGTTCACCCCCCAATGGCCGCCACGGCTGGCACGCTACGGCCGGCACACCACGCTGATCCGATGGCAGCAGCCAGGTGCTTCTCCTGGTCTCCCATGGGGTGCAGGGCCCAAGCACTTGGGCCATCCTCCACTGCACTCCCTGGCCACAGCAGAGAGCTGGCCTGGAAGAGGGGCAACCAGGACAGAATCCGGCGCCCCGACCGGAACTAGAACCCGGTGTGCCGGCGCCACAAGGCTGAGGATTAGCCTAGTGAGCCGTGGCACCGGCCTATGGGACATATTTTAACCTTAATAATGAAATTAACATATGTCAGGATATAATATTTCAGTTTATACACTTGATCTTAGCCCAAAGGCCGAGAAGTGATAATGTATTTCAGTTCATAAAGCCTGCTTAAGTGGGTTAGAGAAATTTTGAACAAAAATGACATCAGAAAATCAGGTAACTCACAGGTTAAAAATATCCATGCCAACTTTTAAAAACTTCACAAACATCTGTTTTATTATTTGTTAAAATATTAATTTTAAAATACAGCTTAATTGCAGTAGAATAAACTTATGAATGAGTGACTATTATTCTGATGATGAAGAATCATTTTTATTCTAGATTTTTGGAATTGTGTTAACTATAAACAAGTATGGCTAATTCAGGTAAGGTTTTTATTGCAAAGAAAAAAGTGTTTTATCCACTGATCAAGGTGTGTAGAAATGAAGCACAAAAGATAAACTATCTGAAATTTTAAAATTATTCTATAAATATAGACAATTTTATTTTCTGTCTTGATTACTTCCTACTGAAATAATCCATACAGATTCTTTTCAAGACCGAGTTACTGAATTTCACTGTGCTATTTTTATGCTCAGAGATAAAAATTGTTTCCTTAGTAATATATATATTTAAAAATATATTACTGTCAAAAAAAGTTTAAAAAACTATATTCCTCCATAAAGAATGGCATTGAATCTTACTCTCCAACTCTGCTACTCGGGTTTTTTTAGTTTAGGTTGAAGAATCTTCCATTCCATGGGCTTATATACATTATAAACATTACTTAAATATTTCTGAACTGTGAAGGTTCAAGTGTATCCTGCTTCTCATGTATTGTTCCCTTTTTTCCAATCAATTCTATTGATTTTATAAAGGGTTAGAGGGTATACTTTCATTGATCAAGGAAATAGCCTGACACGACAAAACTGCCAATTCAAGACAGATCAATCCCACCTCTGTCTCTTTTTGGATACACTATGGTTATTTATTCTGAAACACTTAATTCCATAATACATCTCTTAAAGAAAGAGAATTGGATAAACAAAAACTTATTTTCTTGTAAAACGTAATACATTCCTGGCTATTCCCCATATTGAACTGATATTGAACAATATCAGTTGACACTGGGACACCTGATCACAATGTCCATCAAAGGCTTGATAAGTGCTTGGCCTCATTTTCAATTTCACTAAATAATTCACTCCCTTCTCAGGATTTTACTAATTATTACAAATAAATTCCAAAACCTGTTGAATTCATTTAGAGAATCAGAATCTGTTTGAGAGAATAAAATATGAAACCATATCGTTGCGGCCAAGTATTTTAGGGCTACCATTCATTAGTTACTAATGTCTCAAGAAAATTAGTTGAGTTGCAAGGAATCCATTCTGATAGCTTCATAACTTAGAAACTGAATGACTTAACTTAGGCTACCTTAGATTAATAATGCAACAGCAGCAACATCAACCAAAAACCCTCGTTAACATTATATGAGTATATTAGCTTCTCTGGGAAGACACTGTAAGCTCAACTTCAAAGGGTTAGTAGTGTTTTGACTTTGTTAACTTGCAGTTACATGTTGTTTAGTACTCTTCCAAACTCCACCTGTAAACTTTTCTTAGAAAATAAAGACGATATTCACAAATTCAAAATCTTCTTCATATAAGTTGATCATGGGTGTGTCGAGTTTTCACAGTAATGATCTATTATTTTTCTTTCGCTAGCAGTTTAATCAATTTATTTTCACTTACATGCTAGAAGCCATAACTCACTAAGGAAAAGGTTTAAATTTGAATTTATTTCCAGATACTTTGCTACTTTGAATTTAGGAGAAAATGTATTCTCACTCCAACGCTTGACAAAGACATGGTTTAAAGTACACATTAAACAAAGCAAAACTGCTCTTCAATTACTAAATGCAGTGCTCTGTAGGACAGAAAACATACTGCTTTTCTTAAATGCTAGACTTTCAAAACTTTTGCTGGATGACAGCATTATAAAAAAAAATACAGTTTCTTTAGCAAAGAACTAAAGCTGAATATGCAACATTTCATAGGAGCATTGAATAAGTCTATTTGTCCAGCTTACTTTGCAAAGACTGCGTAGAAAACAGCACCATAAACACTTTCATTCCCCACACAAGGGCTAAACAAAGAGTCCTCTTTCTAGCCATCTAATCGGGTAATTTATTTTTTCAACCATCACATAAATCGAAACACAGCTGTAACCAATGACTTGCAGATCCAGTTCCCAGCCAGCTGGAATCAGTTCTGCTGAAACAGCAAGATTTTTACATTGTTCACTTCTGTACATCTGGAGAAATCATTGAGGTTCAAAGGTGACCAGAAAAGCTCTTTAAATAAATTCAACCGACAGTGAAGATTTGCCTAAGGTTCTGCAAACTATATATTCACTTCTACAAAATGTTCATTTCATGAAAATAATGCTCATAATGGCTATTTGCATCCTCGTCAATATAGACTTTATGAGTTGCTAATTGAATTAAGCACTTCAATACCCACTTCTTTCAAGTAACATGCATAGGTTTCTTCAAAACTTTTTCCTAGGAGATGTTGCTATTTACAGACTGTTGTATTAAAACAATGCATTGCACATCAACCGTAGGAACCTGAAGCAAAACCAGATATGGTACCAGAAATGTTCCTACTCTGATCTCAAGTTTAATCATTTTAGCCAATATTATCCTCTATTAGATAAAGTGAATGAGAAATTCTATCCAGCAGAAAGTAGAGCTGGAATACCTCCATCAAGCTAGGCAGCCAAATCCCTCCAGGAGCCAGAGTCCTGGGAGAAACAAATGAGGATTAGAAATGCTCCACATGCAATTTTGCAGGGAGGTGACTCTGGCACAAGAAGAAGGGAAATCCAAGAGCAGCAGCCATTTTTACTCTAACTTAGAAGTGTGTAACTGCGCACAGGGCAGAAGCTCAGACTCCTTAAATCAAAAACTGAAGCCGACAAACCTTGATGTAAAGAGCCTTCTAAAAATGTCGGATAAACATGAAGCAAATAAAAACCTAGAGAAGGAAATGTATCCTTTGCATTTTGATGACACACAACACACATAAATCAACTTAAATACATCATTTTTTGTCCACAAAAGCCATCCATAAGATATTCAGTTTAGCAAAATTGAATATATATGTCTGGCAAGCTTCACAAGCCAATTTCTACTGTTTTAAAAACACAATATTGAAACAAATCAGAAATATACTTTATTTTTCCTTTAGTTAAAATATACAAGTAAACAAGTTATCTTTATTATTAAAACATCTGATTCAAACATATGGTGATTTCAATCTCAACAATCAGTAACTTCCTTAGGAATTGTACCTCTGACTAAAAGGAGGCAATAAATAGTGATAAAGTATACTTTTCAGTTTATACTGAATGACAGATGCTGATCACATAGTGAGTAGCAATTTCTTCTAAGATCTTAAAATCACATAAGGATGTTTAAGTTCATTCACTTGTTATACATATGACTAATTTTTATGTGTTAGTCACTGCAAACATGGACTATGGAATCATGGCCTGGAATAATCAGAAATGTGATTTAATAAATAATGAAGTATTCAGTACAGTGAGGATTACCTTTAAGAATTTCAAGGTAATAGAAATTTGCACATACGCAAAAGACAGGAGATATGCATTCTGTCCTTCCCTGATTATTAACTGGCTGTGGGATCTCAAGGAGGGTGAACCCCTGTAGAATTAGGATCCACTGTTCTTTCCAGGCCAAATGCCTACCTCTCTGAAAAGAATTTCAAAGTTCCCAACAGACATTGGCTTATACTGTTGCTGTTGAAATGTAAAATCATGGATCTTCTCCTCTAAAAATCTAATCATTTACAGAATGAATATAGCTTTTTGAAAAAGTCTCTACTTTAGGATTTGTGACAACAATCTAGAAACAATCAGTGTGTATCAGCTAATATTCTTAATATGTTGAAGAAAAATTTTACAGAGAAAAGTCTGTGAGTGATATAGCTTAACTTTCTGAATATATCATTTTCAGTCTACACTCACCTTGTTTAAAAATTTAATGGATTTTCTTTGTGATACTCTAACAAGTCTAGTCAAATCTTCATTAAATTGCATCATAGAGATACTCATCAATGTGAAATACCAAGTTAAAGTAATCAGAATATCTAAAATGCCTCAGATTATGGCCAAGCACTTTGATTTTATGATTAGATTATTGAATGTGCTGATTCTTTGTCATAGATAATTATCACTAGTCATTTTAGAATCTCTTATATAGCTCTCTACCCTAATTTTCTATGTCAAGAAGTCATCATTGATTTTGGAAGAAATCATTTGGGAAACATTACATATGTATGTATACACACATATAAATATGCATGTACATATAATCATATATATAAACATTTAAACTGCCAAGTTTGTCTACTTATAAAATTATATATACATAATTTTGCACTTTATCTTTCTAGTTTCCACAGGAATTTCCTATAAAAACGGTTCATAGACTTGTAAAGTTATGAGAACACCAGGGATCTACAAGAAGAGACTTTCTTGTCTTTGGAGGCCTGGTTAAAACTTCCTATCAATGGGTGAAATTTTGTATCAGGCTGTTAATTTTCTAATTTCAATTAGAGTAAAACTAAGAACTTTTTCAATATCAGTTGACATTTATGTTAGGGTCAAGTTTTGGCCTTTTCTTTCCCCTACATTCATCACTTGCATAGTCAAAAAAATTAAAATTTCTTCCTCTCCAGAGAAAGAATTTTAAGACATTATGCTTGAAATTTTTTGAGTTCATTTTCTTTCTAGAAGATCCACAAGTCTTCTAAATCTATCATGTCAATCAGTGCATTTATCTTTCTGTCTCTTGAAGCAGTAAAAAATTCCAAAAATGGTATAAGCACTGTTTTAATCATCAGGAACACAGATTGTAAATTATACAATGGTTATGTCTATGAACTAGCCAAAACAGAAAAAAAAATAAACCATATAATTGTATCCATAAGTCTGTGAAATTAATTAGAATGGAGAGGAAATAATGTGATTTTGTGCCAAGTATCCCAATATTTTTGTCTTTTTTACAAATAATCTCATGTAAGTGAAAATTCAATATATAAATATTAGAATAGCTTCGCATAATTGAGTAATTTAAATGGCATATATCCATTAAGAAGAGTTCCTAGAGGTCATTTATGGAGCTTTTACTCTCTTGAATTTAATTTGATATACATTTTATTCAAGTTCACTGTGTGCAAATAACTAAGTTGCTAAAAGGATTACTAAACTGATGGCAAAAATGACCTCTGTCTTCCAAAAATTTTCTATGTGGTGGAAGAGTCAAAGATAAAATTGTGAAAATATGGAAAATATGAAGCATTGCATGAAATAGAAGGTACAATGAGAACACAGGGAAGAGAGACCATAATTATTGAGTATTAACAGGAGGCCTATACAGGAAGCTCCACCTAAGTTGAGCCTTGAAGTTTGAGGACTATTTAACAGGAAAAGCCTGAGGAAGGAGAAAAGACATCAGATCTGTGGGCTGGTGAGGAGGAAATTCTCAAAGGCAGGGATCCATGCAGTTCTGGGGAAATGACAGGTGGTCATGGCAAAAATGCTGCCTTATGCAAGCAATGTTCCTTGGGGAAGAGATCAGGCAATCCGACTGGGGTACAGTTATAGAGGGTGTTTAATACTGTACTGAATAGTAATAATTTGGGCCAAAATTACAGCTAGAATTTTTTTGAGTAGCAGTTTTAGATTAGCATAATGACCCACAACAACACTAACAATTACCTTCATTTAACACCTAATCTCTACCTCACTGAGTGCTAGGATATTTTATGCCATTTCTCATCACAATAATCCCATGAAGGAAATGGTATAATTATTTGGAAATTATTGACAAGGAATCTGAGCTTCAAAGAAGTTAAGCAATGTACACCACTTTGTACCTTTGGTTGTGGTCTACCTGGTTCCAAAGTTCATCGCTTTCTAAGTGTCTCGTCAGTCTGCCTCTCAAAATGAAATTGACTTCTCTGATGGCACACTGTTGAGTGTAATTTTCATGACACAACTGCATGGACAGACTATATCTATCAGGGAGGATCCTACAAGGAACTAAGAGGACACAAGATTGGAGCAATCTTTCCTATCCAGAACGTCTTGACAGTGACACAATGGGGGATCTGATCTTCTCTTCATTGTGTGCTAGATTTGTCTAACTAATCATTTATGTAAATGCATAAAATTTTGTCCTGGAAAAGTACCATAATTTGCTTAACTGTTTCTCAAATATTGATGAGAATCTCTAGGTATTCTAATTTGGCATTATTATGTAAAGTGTTAAAAGAATACTTTTCTCCATGTCTTAGTCTTCTATTTTAATTTCCTCCTTTATTTAACATTGCAAAAGTAGTATTATAGCGATTTCAAACAGCTGAATAACTTTGGCATAACTGAATAATTGATTGTACAGAGATAGTTTTATTTGATTTTATAATATATCAAACATAGAGCCACAATATCTGACTTTATTGCACAATTGGTTATATTTCATTTACTATTAATTTACCCCTCAGTTCACTATTCAATCATTTTTGTCTATTTATTCTAAAAAAATTTATTAATATAAATATAATGGATTTCATGTATTTCACAGGAACACTTCTAAAACATTTCTTCTCTAAAAAGTATCTAAGTAGATAACCATACTTCCTTCCATCCCACTCCCCCCCCAAACACCCTCCCTTCTTCCTTTCTTCTTTCCTTTAACTTTCACAAAGACATAATTTTAGTCCACTATATAATCACAGGCTTAGCACACAACTAACCATAACACTCAACAAGTAAAAAGTAGAAAGACCGCAATTCCACAGGAGTATAAATAAGGCTAAAAATAATGATCAAATCACAAAATATTCATTTGTTTCCTGTACATTTTTTATAGTCTATAGTAACTACCACATATCAAAAAAATCATAAGATATTTGTGTTTTGGGGACTGGCTTATTTCATTAATCACAAAGGTTTCCAGTTGCATTCATTTTGTTGCAAAAGACAGGATTTCATATTTCTTATGGCTGAATAGTATTCCATACTGTATATATAACACATTTTTTTTTTATCCAGTCTTCAGTTGATGGACATCTGGGTTGGTTCCCTATCTTAGCTACTGCGAATTGAGCTGCAATAAACATGCTGATTTCATTATGACTAAATGTATGTGCCTGAGCACCTAGCTAAGTATTGGACTTTTCTTTATTAAGCAGACCTGTGAAAGCGGCCACTAAATATGGTTCAAAGAACCTATTAACAAAATATTCTACCTGTCCCAGGTGGAACTGTCAAATTACAAGATAAAGTAAACATTTAGCAATATACTATCATGTCAATTCCAGAGTATTAAGTTCAGTTGGTGGAACATAAAGTTTGTATCAAATTTTCCATAAATATTTTATCAAAATAAAATCTGCTTGGAGCCTTCTATCTGCCTTCATGTTTCACTCACATCTCTAACCTTTGTTTCAACTTTATGAAACAAAAAACATTCCAGAAATGTATGCATACATCTATCATAAGACAACACTTTTCACACACTTAAATTAATTTGAAAGCATATAGCATTTCTAATTTGAGAATTTAATATATAAAAGAGGCAGATGAAACAAAGCACTTAAACTAGAAAACTGAGTTATAACATTATTCCTGTTGCATTTGTTGTACAACTACAGAACAGTTATGTAGGACTCTTAATACCCAAAGATTTCATTTTCCTTTTATGAAAAAGAGTGAAGCTACCACTATGGGACAGAATGGAATATACATTTTGCAACTTTAAGAGCAATGAAAACAAAAAATGGTGTGTATTTACAAACTGGCATTCTCATGTAGCAGACTGATTTGGGGTTATTCTACTACTTTTAAAGCAAAGTTTGTTATTGGAAAAAAGCTTCCCAATTTATTCCTATTTTTTAAATTAATTTTAGGCACCAGGAAGGTGGTGACAGAGTCACTGCTTTTTTGTTGTTGTTGTTCTTTTTTGCCTTTTGTTGTTGTTGTTGTTGAAAATTGAGTATTTTTTGTTTTGTTTTTAACTTTTATTTAATGAGTATTTCAGGCATGGAAAGCCAAGACACTCTGAAAAAAAAAAATGACCTAAATGAAAGATATCCGCGAGTGAGATCCCAGTGGAAAGAACAGGTCATCAAAGAAGGAGGTACCTTTCTCTGAAGGGAGGAGAGAACTTCCACTTTGACCATGGCCTTGTCTAAATATGATCAGAGTCAGTGAACTCAAAAGGCTTCCATAGCCTTGGAAACTCATGACAAGAGCCTAGGGTGATTACTGATGCCATAAACAAGAGTGTCAATTTGTTAAGTCAACAACAGGAGTCACTGTGCACTTACTCCTCATGTAGGATCTTCGGCCTTAGTGTGCTGTACATTGAGATTTAATGCTATAACTAGTACTCAAACAGTATTTTTACTTTGTGTTTCGGCGTGGGTGCAAACTGTTGAAATCTTTACTTAATATATACTAAACTGATATTCTGTATATAAGGAGAATTGAAAATGAATCTTGATGTGAATGGAAGGGGAGAGGGAGCGGGAAAGGGGAGGGTTGCGGGTGGGAGGGACGTTATGGGGGGGAGGCCATTGTAATCCATAAGCTGTACTTTGGAAATTTATATTCATTAAATAAAAGTTAAAAACAAAACAAAACAAAAAAGAAAAGAAAAAAAGAGAAAAAAAAGAACAACAGTCATATCAACATATAGGAAAGAGGAAGAAGTAAACAGAACAAGTCAGCAAAATGTAATATTTATGAGCCTTTTTACTTGTTTCTTCCATGTGGCATGATCTTTCTGTATCACTGCCAGCGCAGTGAGAGTTCCTCACTAGGCAACAGTGGGTTACCTTCTTACCTGTTCTCAGCCAGCTTTAACAGAACTGAAGCTGCCACTACAGATATAGCCAAACTTCAGATATCCAACTCCTACATCTTTTTCTGACTACCCTTCATACCCTGTTCAGGCAGCCTTGACAGAATCTGGAAAGATTTTTGTCAATATTCTAGACAACACTCTCAAATAGACTTCTATTAACTAAAAGAAAATTTCAAGAACATATGTCACATTTTTAAGGAGTGAGAGTATTTTACTAAGGCTTATTTTTTAAAAAGAAGAAAAACATGTTGGGTATTGCATGAATTAGAAGCATACAGTGCAACAACAAGGGAACAGAGCCATAGAACAAAGTCCAGTTTGTACAATCAAAAATGCTTAGTCATTCATTCACTTTTCACAGTCAAAACCCTTTTCACAAAAAAAAGGGCTATCTTGAAAAAATCATTGAGATGGAATTTCTAAACAAAGAGAGAGTATTTAACCTCCCTAATTGTCAAGGCAGCTATCTAAACTGTGGCTACAATTCCTTAGGATCCAGGTAATTCAGAATCTGACATACCTCAGGCATGTTTGGAACTGTATACTCCTCCACTCAGAATGGCTTGTCTTGAAAAACACTGGGTTAAGCAAATAAAAGAAACCTTATACATTTTCTTAGAGATTAGTACAAATTGTGTCAGATGCTATTTTAAAAATATGCATAGGAGAAAGTAATCACACAAACAGTTTGCTTTTTGAGGAGAAATAACAATGAAACATAATAATGATAAGAGATGAAATTACTAAGTGCCTCAGAATTTAACAACACAGGCTCAAATACATTTCTGTCACTTTCCTCACTCTCCTATTACACTGACTTTATCTTCTTCCAATTGGAATTTCCAGGCAACCTTTACATCACTGAGCAAATGCATTAGATAATGTGAAAACTGGGCCTTGTAGTCTGCTGTCACGTCACTTAACGCAGCCATGTGAAATCCTACTACAGCTGACCTGTTGAATATACCTCATGGCTTTTGCTGCTACTTCTATAATTTTCATAGGCTATAGCCAACCTTTTAAATGGAGTGCTCACCAGATCTGATGATTAAAAAAAAATTTACTTATTTGAAAGTCAGATTGAGAGAGAGAGAGAGAGAGAGAATCTTTGATCCAGTGGTTCACTCCTCAAATGACCAGAGAAAGGAAGGACAAAATCAGAGTCTAGAACTCCGTTGTGGTCTCCCACATAGGTGACAGGTGCCCAAGTACTTGGGCCATCATCCACTGCTCTCTTGATTTTCCAGGCACATTAACAGGGAGCTGGGTGGGAAGGGGAGCAGTCAGGACTTGAACAAGCATTCATATAAGTTACTGGCAGACCAAGCAACAGCTTAACCTGCTGGACCTAATGATGTTGTGACTGCCTCTTTTCCACTGAGACTTCAGAAGTTAGTTAAGAAAGCCTCTAATGACAGGCCAGTGTTGTGGTGTAGCAGGTAAAGCTGCCGCCTGTGATGCCAACATCCTCTATGGGCTCTGGTTCCTGTCCTGGCTGCTCCGCCTCAAATCCAGCTCCCTCATAAGGGCCTGACAAAAGCTGTGGAAGATGGCCAAGTGCTTGGGCTCCTGTCACTCACATGGATGCCTCAGATGAAGCTCCTGGCCCAGCCCCAGCCATTGCAACTATTTGAGACATGAACCAGCAGATGGAAGATATGTCTCTTCCTCTCTCCCTCTCTCCCTGCATCTCTGATGCTTAAATAAATGAATACATCTTTTTGTTTTTAAACAAGTCCTCATGAATTTCAGTCTATTATTTTCAGTTGAAACTTAGGTGGTAAAAATTTAGGTTTTTTTTTTTTTTTTTAGCATTACTTCTATTTACTATAGCAATTTAAATAATATGCTAGCTGGAGCCAGCACTGTGGTACAGTGGGTTAATGCCCTGGCCTGGGGCGTTGGCATCCCATATGGGCGCCAGTTTGAGACCCGGCTGCTCCACTTCCAATCCAGCTCTCTGCTGTGGCCTGGGAGGGCAGTGGAGGATGGCCCAAGTCCTTGAGCCCCTGCACCTGAGTGGGAGACCCAGAGGAAGCTCCTGGCTCCTGGCTTCGGATCGATGCAGCTCCCTCTCTGCCTCTCCTCTCTCTGTGTAGCTCTAACTTTCAAATGGATAAACAAATCTTTAAAAAAATAAAGAATATTCTAGCCTTTGTTTTCAAACAATAATCTACCTCCAATTCTTTTTCCTTGTACATGAAAATTCAGTGTATATTATCTATCTGTGACCAGAGCAAAGGGAATATTTAACGTCCTCCTCAAAATAAGCCATAAGAGAGCTTTAAGGGAAGACATCCTGAATAAGAAATAAATGGTTAAAGAATTGAGTTTTAGAAATGTAACAAGTTGGAACTTTAGGTCACACTAACCATGTTTCTGATAATGAAAGAAAAGTCTTATAACCTGAGGTCTGGCTATCAGACAACATTACTTAGTTCTAGGTTTAGCGTATAGAACAAAGAGACTATTGACCATTAGCCTTATCTGTAAGTAATGTATGTTATTTTTAGAAAAAATGAGGAGAGGGCTTACTGGTTTTAAAACCTTTATTGAAGAAACGATATAACTCATATAGGTTTTAAGTAACACATACATCCACACAGAGAGAAAATAACAGGGCTACTATTCCAAGGCTCTCTCCTCCCTCAGGAAAATAATAACTGAAAACAAAATGTTGGAAATGATGGAAGAAGGTAATACATATGCTTCAAGAGGAAGGCCAGCTGTCCATAGTTCAAAAAATATCACTCTAGCTGTGTTTATATGAAACCTGCGGACTCAGCAGAGACCTAGGCTCTACTTCACGTGGACTCACTCACCAGCCTACCTGCCGAGTAGGTTCCTGTTACTCCTGCATGGACTGGGATGATCTACTTGAAAGGCAGCTCAGAGGTAGTGCCGTCATGTTTGCATGGAACAGTGTAGGTAGAACTACACACAGCCTAAAATCTGGGCTTCCAAAACCTATTTGAATAACAGCATTCCCTGTAGGCCCAGGAAACTGAAGATAATGTAAAGCAAAGAAAGGGTGATTTGAGTTATAGACATTGTGGAGGGAAAATGCACAAACAGATTCATCAGGAAAATGTGAGGGAAACAGGTCCTTTGACTAAAACGTAACAACCTGACATTTGGGTCTGTACACTCGGTGAGATGATACAAATTTTGGGTGCTCCAAAAAAATGACTATTCCTGAGAAAAAGACAAAAAACAATTTAAACTACTTCACAGAATAAGTATTTCATCTTTCTTGTGATATGTATAAATATTTAATAAATGTAAAGAATAGAACCATTATATTTATTTGCACACTGGTATGTTTTGAAGAATTACATACATAGTCCAGCCACATGAATATGACTATTCACGGCTATTCAAAGTCAAGGTACTATATTTCATTTAAATAAGTAGGCTTGATTAAAGAGAATCTGTATTATTTTGAAAAAAGATAACAGTGCAGACAAAACAATTAAATAAACAACGTTGGAGTAAATCTTTCATTCGCAAAAGGGCAGACCAGATAACATTTCATTTTGAAAATAGGTAATGAAAATAAATAATGAATGCTAAAATGCCTACTCAGAATCCCACAATAAGGCAAAATGATCTTTCCACCCAAATTGGTGACTCAAAACATCTTGGGTAGGGCACTTTTCTCACACAAGTATACTACTAATAAAATTCAAACCAAGTATTATACGTTGGGTTAAAAGAATTTATTAAGCAAGACTATTTGTATAGCCCTCACTGGCTCTTTTTTTTTTTAACACTAGTATGTTTATTAATCCTAAGATTCTCTTTCTTATTTATTTCTTGTATTCATATAGTTTTGGGTTAGCTACTTAGATTCAAGAAGGAAATGTACCAGCTGGCGCCGTGGCTCACTAGGCTAATCCTCTGCCTGCGGCGCTGGTACTCGGGGTTCTAGTCCCGGTTGGGGCACCACTTCTGTCCCAGTTGCTCTTCTTCCAGTCCAGCTCTCTGCTGTGGCCAGGGAGTGCAGTGGAGGATGGCTCAGGTGCTTGGGCCCTGCACCCATATGGGAGACCAGGAGGAAGCACCTGGCTCCTGGCTTCAGATTGGTGCAGCGTGCCAGCTTTAGCGGCCATTTGGGGAGTGAACCAACGGCAAAGGAAGACCTTTCTCTCTGTCTCTCTCTCACTGTTTAACTCTGCCTGTCCAAAAAAAAAAAAAAAAAAGAAAAGAAAAAAGAAGGAAATGTGCCTGTAATCAGATTTGCACCCCAAGATCCAGCAGAAGGAGATGGTATGCAGGCAACAGTTTTTGAGGCATTAAAAGTAGCAGCCTCAGGATGGATAAACACAGACTAGGGAGGTTCACACTACATATTGTGAAGCGTTAATTGAATAATGTTTATTTGGCACAAAAGACACTCCTTTCTTGTGCATTCCATAAGACAGTAGTGTCATGTTTATGTGCTTATGCCACCTTGCAGCAATGCATTTTCCAAAAACAATTTCAAAATGCTTTTAATTACTTTTCTTATACTACTATATAGGAGTCACACAATTCAATCTATATTTGGGAACTTTTGGTGCTAATCATGTATTATCAAATAGACTAGATGCCTTTTTAGCATACTGAAACACAGATGTCACATCCAAACTGATTTTACTACAGTTGTCCTGAAACCACATGTGTGTCAACTGTCCAAAAGAATGATCCACAGGAAAATATGATATTTTCTTTTATGTGATATTTATTTTTTTTTCAGTTGTAAAAATACAGAGACTGAAACATTTCTTTACTAAACAAGAAAATTAGCAGAAAATTTGAGTCAAATAAGATCAGATAGTCACATAAACATATAAGCAGGAGTCGTAATACCCAAGGAAAAACTTTATTTTACCATGGTAGAAATGTTTCATTTAGTCAGTTTAAGGGGAGATTTGGGTATTGATGTATCAGGACAGTGATGTTAACAGCTGATGAGAAAATAAAATACCAAAAATATTGAGATTTGATTAAGTGGTGACAGAGTAAATTCTTTAGAGCTCTAAAAACTGGAAAAGTGTGAAAAATATAAAGGCTGTATATTAGCTTCCATAATTATACTTCAAGTTTAATTTTAATACATAAAAAGTTGATAGAAGGGATGTTGGATGAAAGTTGCTGGATTCACAGAAACTTTTAATTGACTGTTTTACAACATACTCAAGAATTTCCCATTTCTTAAAGAGAGGCTTTACAAAAGTAGTCAGTTAGGGGAAGGAGCTGGGCATGGCAGATACATTTCAAATTTAAAAGATGTAGATTTTCTCTCTAAAGCTTTCCCTGAAAAAAAGAAATAAATAACAAATTTGCTTTCTGCTAAATGACAGATTACCACTGTAAGGTTATAAAGTCACAATATTTAACATGAGGAAAAAGCTCTGAATCATCTAAAAAACAGAGGAAAAAATAGAAACCTGTTCATTTGTTAATATCTGTAATAAGTTCTTAAAATATTTTTCATTGATAAGATTCAAAACAATGATTAAGTAGGATCTATAATTCAAATTAAGGACAAACTATTATAATGATAAAATACATTAGATATTTAAAATATACATTCTATGAATTTAGGCTATAAAATGTTAAGCTAAAGACATCATAGTATACAGGTCAGGCTGCAGTTCACTTCTTGAGTAATTTTTTTCCTAACTCCATTTAATACATATTTTTCATGTGTTTAGTTTTAATGTTAGACTAGAGTACTTATTGTTTATATTTTTATTTTTAATTTTCAATTATGAACACATATTCCTTTAATGTGTATAGTATTTAGAAAGTGTATAGTATTTAGTATTTAAAGTGTATAGTATTTAGAAAGTGTATAGTATTTAAAGTGTGCAGTATTTAGTATTTAAAGACGTTTATCATTCTACTTGTTCCCCATGTTATCTCTTCTATCTATATTATTATTTTACAAAAAGCCATCTCATTCCACACATATCCCCCCACCCAAACACTAACAGAAGTTGGGTGTAGCAAATCAAGAAAAAATGGGTAATGAAAATGGCAAGCTTGACAGGTATATCTTGATAGGTATATCTTGAGTGGCATATACTGGTAAGAGACAAATGAGATTAACAAACCACATTGGTTTATACACCAAAATCTCATTTAGATTTCTGCAGACATATTCTCTTCTAATTCTTGATGCCCCTCCACTAACTAAAAAAAGATGAATTCTCAATGGAGGCCTGTTTTGTAATTTATATCATCTGTAGCTAATTAATAAAACACTGGAGTTAATTTATTCTACTTGAGAATGATAAAAAACAACACCAATGGCAAAAGTTTCAAAGATATACAAGGTATCACCAGAATATGTAGCTTTAGTATTAGGAAAATATCACCTAGATGATACCCCAAGGACATAACATTTTTCTCACTGGCAGAATTATACAAATAACTGTTTTGGAAAAATTTGTTTCTTGGATTGGTCCCAAAAAACTAAGTTGTTTTACTAACCATATTTCATATGAAGGATGGACTGGAATAAAAATGCCCAGACACCTGAGTCAAGTACAATCAGTATAAAATCCCTTTTCACTAGAACATTGAAATGAAACACCTATAAAGCACCTTTATAGTCTCCTAGTCTCCCTCCCTTAAAGTGTCCCCTTCCCTGCCTTTATGATAGGTAATCAATTCCTTACTATAATTAACTCGCTAAACTGAGGGAGTAGTACAGACGGCCCTACAATGGTCTAATTACCAGATTCATGACATCATTTGCTTCTACAACAGATAACACCTTCATAGCCAATCATGTGTCAGGGGGTTTCTTTTGAGGGAATTAAAGGTTCAAGTGAGAAATAACTACCACCTGCATATAGGCCCCATACTTACTGAGGCCCTGTTGGCCCTAAAAATTCCCTAAAGAACAAACTATCACTGACCAATCAAAGGAAGGCCACAAACTCCTTCAACCAACCAGGAACCCAGACACGCACTGAACACAAACACATCTCTCATCCCAACTTCAAAAGGTGAGAACCTTCACTTCTAAGCCTTAAGGAGCAAGCAATTATGCAGCAGCTGCCAGCCTCCTTGCTCTGAGCATTGCAATAAATGCCTCTTTTCTTCCACCACCCAATATCAGGGATTGGCTTTCTGTGTATGGGCCACCACACCCAGTTGTTGCGGGGTGGCGGGGAGTGTTCTATAGCAACTCCTCCCACCAGTTTTGGATATAGCTATAGCAAAACGATAAAACAGGCTGCTATAAAAGTCATTATTTTTATTCCCACTCTTATGTTTAACAGGGATCACATTTCAGTTAATTTTTAACACTTAAGAATAACTGTGTATTAATTACAGAATTAAACCAGTCATATTAAGTAGAACAGACAAAAAAACTACTAAGAGGGATAATGTATTAAGTTGTTCATTAACAGTCAGGGCTATGCTGATCAAGTCACCGTTTCCCATAGTGTCCAAAAAAGAGAGGGAAGAGATGTATAATTTGGGACATGCTCAAGCTGACTTGCCCCAAATGGTAGAGTTAAAAACATACCAGGGGATTCCAATTCAATCCCATCAAGGTGGCATGTACCAATGCCATCTCACTAGTCCAAGTGATCAATTTCAGTTCACAATTGATCATAATGAAAGGACTAAGAGTCAAAGGGAGCACATAAACAAGTCTAGTACCTTCTAACACTAACCGATAGAATAAATAAAGGGAAGAGTGATCCAACATGGGAAGGGAGATACTCAGCAGACTCATAGAATGGCAGATGTCCTAAATAGCACTCTGGCCTCAGAATCAGCCCTAAAGGCATTTGGATCTGGCTGAAAAGCCCATGAGAGTATTTCAGGCATGGAAAGCCAAGACACTCTGGCAAAAGATCTCTGCGAGTGAGATCCCAGTGGAAAGAACAGGTCTTCAAAGAAGGAGGTACCTTTCTCTGAAGGGAGGAGAGAACCTCCACTTTGACTATGACCTTGTCTAAACAAGATAAGAATCGGAGAACTCAGAGGGCTTCCATAGCCTTGGAAACTCATGACTGGAGCATAGGGAGACTACTGATGCCATAGACAGGAGTGTCAATTGGTAAAGTCAACAACAGGAGTCACTGTGCACTTACTCCTCATGTAGAATACAACAGGAGTCACTGTGCACTTACTCCTCATGTAGGATCTCTGTCCTTAATGTGCTGTGCATTGAAATTTAATGCTATAACGAGTACTCAAACAATATATTTCACTTTGGGTTTCTATGGGGGTGCAAACTGTTGAAATCTTTACTTAATGCATACTAAACTGATCCTCTGTAAAAAAAAAAAAAAAAAAAAAAAAAAAAAAAAAAAAAGAAATTATCAACTCCCAGCTTGACTCTCACTGGGATTAAACATGACAATAGGTCTGATCTAATTTCATTATCATTTAAAAAAATCATCTATTATTTTTCACTTTATGTTTCTGTGTGAGAGCAAACTGTTGAAATCCTTACTTAATGTATACTAAGCTGATCTTCTGTATATTAAGATAATCGAAAATGAATCTTGATGTGAATGGAAGGGGAGAGGGTGTGGGAAAGGGGAGGGTAGTGGGTGGGAGGGACGGTATGTGGGGGAAGCCATTGTAATGCATAAATCGTACTTTGGAAATTTATATTCATTAAATAAAAGTTAAAAAAAAATTAAAAAAGTCATTATTTTTAAAATACTTCACTTAGATACTCACATAAAGATAGGTTTTAAAAATGAGACCAAAATATTTTCAGGGTTTGTTTATTGGCAAAGATATATGCTCATATCTCTTATATCTATAATTTTGAAAAGAGAGAGAATATTAAAAGTAAGATGTTTAATCTCAAGTTAATATATAATCATAAGGAAAACAAGGTATTAAATTATTTCTCCCTACTATATGAAGATGGGATATGAAAATTTTACAACAGTTGTTAATACATAAGGAAAAGGTAAAGGAAAAAAAAGCATGATTTACAATGGAATTATATAGTAAATGATAATCACCAAATTTCACTACAATTATGTTGCTTTATTACAGTAGAAAATTTAGTTACATGAGGCTCATTTCTAAATTTTACAATCTTACTAAAATTTTATGACAAAATATAGTTGATGCTGGTAGAAAATAAAGATATTAGGAGCAAATCATTTGCATATATATAGAGTTCTAGGGTTCCTGGTGGGTTATCCACAGACATTAACATAACACTAGAAACTAGTGACATAATACAATTAGTCCACTTTGCTGACGTGCTGTTTCTTGTTACTAACGCTACAATGGGTTTTCTGACATATTTTATTTGTATGTAGCAGAGTTTTGTCTACAGACTCCATTCACATCACTAAACAGCCTTTATCCACAATTAAACACCACTTCCTCCATTCTTATACTAAGAAAATATGAACAGTCAACTGGAGATGGCCACAGTGGAATTTAACAAAGAATTATAAAGATGGCCAAAAGAAAAAAAAATCTAAGAAGCATTTTTCTTTTCCATAATGAACTTGTGACTTTTTTTCTCCTAATTACAGTACAAGACAAAGTCTCCAGTGTGGGCCATATGGCAAATCCAGAAAAGCCTCTCTCTCTCCCACCTCTATCTTCCTCTCTCTCCCTCTCTCCCTCTCTCTCTCTCTCTCTCTCTTTCTCCCTCTCTCTCCCACCCTTTCCTCTCTCTCTCTTTCTTCTAATTTTTGCACAGTGTAGGCGGAGGTGGACAGCCACTGGTCAGAGCAGTGGCCAGCAGCGGAGGTGCCTTGGAATGTGTTGAAAGTGCATTCCTTAGATGCTTGAAAGGAGTGACTGTCCCCCTGATGGCGCCCACTGACTTTCCTTGCCTTGGTTACTTCAGTGTGGAATAAGCCCTATTTTTCAACACACTGGGCTACGTGGCTCTTAATCACTTACTCTGTGTTGCTCTGAGATTTTTTGGAATTAGTTTTTTTTATTACTATTATTTTATCCAGTTTTGGTTTAGGTCTTTTCCATTTTGCTTTGTTTATCTTGTTGAAAATTAAGGATTCAAATCCTCAGTTGGAAATCTCCTAATTGAGGGAGAAGTTGTGCGGAGCACTGGAGGTACAATGATTGATTAATAAGAGGAGATCCCTTCCCTCAGGAGATTGTACATTGTCCTGGTGTGATCATGGCTTGTTTCTTAGGAGCTGAGCCAGATCAAAGCTAGGAGCCAGGAACTCCGCCCTGGCTCCCACATGGGTGGCAGCATCCCAAGTACTTGTGCCATTATCTGCTGCTTTTTCCAGGTGCATTTGCAGGGAGCTGGATCAGGAGTAGTGGGACTCAAATCA